CAGATAGACTTCACTGTGACATGATCCCTAATGTCAGACAGATTTAGCTGTTACATGATCCCTAACGTCAGACAGACTTCACTGTTACATAATCCCCAAATCAGACCAGATTTCATTGTGACATGATCCCTAATGTCAGACCAGATTTCATTGTTGACATGATCCCTAATGTCAGACAGACGTCCACTGTTACATAATCCCCAAATCAGACAGATTTCACAGACACTGACATGATCCCTAATGTCACACAGATTTCACTGTTACATGATCCCTAATGTCAGATAGGCGTCACTGTTACATAATCCCCAATGTCAGACAGATTTCATTGTGACATGATCCCTAATGTCAGACAGACTTCACTGTTACATAATCCCCAAATCAGATAGATTTCATTGTGACATGATCCCTAATGTCAGACAGATTTCATTGTGACATGATCCCTAATGTCAGACAGATTTCATTGTGACATGATCCCTAATGTCAGACAGGCGTCACTGTTACATAATCCCCAAATCAGACAGATTTCACTGTGACATGATCCCTAATGTCAGACAGATTTCACTGTTACATGATCCCTAATGTCAGATACAGGCGTCACTGTTACATAATCCCCAAATCAGACAGATTTCATTGTGACATGATCCCTAATGTCAGACAGACTTCACTGTTACATAATCCCCCAAATCAGACAGATTTCATTGTGACATGATCCCTAATGTCAGACCAGATTTCATTGTGACATGATCCCTAATGTCAGATAGACTTCACTGTTACATGATCCCTAATGTCAGACAGATTTCACTGTTACATGATCCCTAATGTCAGACAGACTTCACTGTTACATAATCCCCAAATCCAGACAGATTTCATTGTGACATGATCCCTAATGTCAGACAGACTTCACTGTTACATAATCCCCAAATCAGACAGATTTCATTGTGACATGATCCCTAATGTCAGACAGACTTCACTGTTACATAATCCCCAAATCAGACAGATTTCACTGTGACATGATCCCTAATGTCAGACAGATTTCATTGTGACATGATCCCTAATGTCAGACAGACTTCACTGTTACATAATCCCCAAATCAGACAGACTTCACTGTTACATGATCCCTAATGTCAGACAGATTTCACTGTTACATGATCCCTAATGTCAGATAGACTTCACTGTGACATGATCCCTAATGTCAGACAGATTTAACTGTTACATGATCCCTAACGTCCAGGCGACTTAACTGTGACATGATCCCTAATGTCAGACAGACTTTACTGTTACATAATCCCCAAATCAGACAGATTTCATTGTGACATGATCCCTAATGTCAGACAGATTTCATTGTGACATGATCCCTAATGTCAGACAGACGCCACTGTTACATAATCCCCAAATCAGACAGATTTCACTGTGACATGATCCTTAATGTCAGACAGATTTCACTGTTACATGATCCCTAATGTCAGATAGGAGCGTCACTGTTACATAATCCCCCAAATCAGACAGATTTCATTGTGACATGATCCCTAATGTCAGACAGACTTCACTGTTACATAATCCCCCAAATCAGACAGATTTCATTGTGACAGATCCCTAATGTCAGACAGATTTCATTGTGACATGATCCCTAATGTCAGACAGATTTCATTGTGACATGATCCCTAATGTCAGACAGACGTCCACTGTTACATAAATCCCCCAAATCAGACAGATTTCACTGTGACATGATCCCTAATGTCAGACAGATTTCACTGTTACATGATCCCTAATGTCAGACTTCACTGTTACATAATCCCCCAAATCAGACAGATTTCATTGTGACATGATCCCTAATGTCAGACAGACTTCATTGTTACATAATCCCCCAAATCAGACAGATTTCATTGTGATAGATCCCTAATGTCAGACAGATTTCATTGTGACATGATCCCTAATGTCAGATAGACTTCACTGTTACATGATCCCTAATGTCAGACAGATTTCACTGTTACATGATCCCTAATGTCAGACAGACTTCACTGTTACATAATCCCCAAATCAGACAGATTTCATTGTGACATGATCCTAATGTCAGACAGACTTCACTGTTACATAATCCCCAAATCAGACAGATTTCATTGTGACATGATCCTAATGTCAGACAGACTTCACTGTTACATAATCCCCAAATCAGACAGATTTCACTGTGACATGATCCCTAATGTCAGACAGATTTCATTGTGACATGATCCCTAATGTCAGACAGACTTCACTGTTACATAATCCCCAAATCAGACAGACTTCACTGTTACATGATCCCTAATGTCAGACAGATTTCACTGTTACATGATCCCTAATGTCAGATAGACTTCACTGTGACATGATCCCTAATGTCATACAGATTTAACTGTTACATGATCCCTAGCGTCCAGACTAATTTAACTGTGACATGATCCCTAATGTCAGACCAGACTTTACTGTTACATAATCCCCCAAATCAGACAGATTTCATTGTGACATGATCCCTAATGTCAGACAGATTTCACTGTTACACTTGATCCCTAATGTCAGATAGACGTCACTGTTACATAATCCCCAAATCAGACAGATTTCATTTGTGACATGATCCCTAATGTCAGACAGACTTCACTGTTACATAATCCCCAAATCAGACAGATTTCATTGTGACATGATCCCTAATGTCAGATAGACGTCACTGTTACATAATCCCCAAATCAGACAGATTTCATTGTGACATGATCCCTAATGTCAGACAGACTTCACTGTTACATAATCCCCAAATCAGACAGATTTCATTGTGACATGATCCCTAATGTCAGACAGACTTCACTGTTACATAATCCCCAAATCAGACAGATTTCATTGTGACATGATCCCTAATGTCAGACAGACGTCACTGTTATATAATCCCCAAATCAGACAGATTTCATTGTGACATGATCCCTAATGTCAGACAGACTTCATTGTTACATAATCCCCCAAATCAGACAGATTTCATTGTGACATGATCCCTAATGTCAGACAGATTTCACTGTGACATGATCCCTAATGTCAGATAGACTTCACTGTTACATAATCCCCCAAATCAGACAGATTTCATTGTGACATGATCCCTAATGTCAGACAGATTTCATTGTGACATGATCCCTAATGTCAGACAGACTTCACTGTTACATGATCCCTAATGTCAGACAGATTTCATTGTGACATGATCCCTAATGTCAGATAGACTTCACTGTTACATGATCCCTAATGTCAGACAGACTTCACTGTTACATGATCCCTAATGTCAGAAAGACAATGTTCATGATATAACAAAGATATGCTGGTGTTGACAGACCAGATAATCTGAAGCATGGCTACTGACCTGTACTTGGCAGCGAGGTCGGAGATCTTGGCCTTGTTCACGTTACTGGTGTTGACGGGGTTTGCGGTGCTGCGTGTGAAGCGGTAGGGGTCATGACCCGGGCTCCGCTCCCTCCCCGTCACACCCCCAAGCTTCTCCCTCAGCTTGGTGTCATCGTGCTTGTTCGAGGGGTGGTTCACGTACTTGCTGTACGAGTCGCTCGAGTGGGAGGAGGAATCATTGTGAGCCTGTCACAGAGGAGAGACAATGTCAGAGTATGTAATGGAGGGTGGTTCATGCTGTACTGGAGGGTGGTTCACAGAGGACTTGCTACTGGAGGGTGGTTCACGACTTGCTGCACGAAGTCAGCTCAAGTTGGGAGGAATCATTGTGAGCCTGTCACAGAGGAGAGACAATGTCAGAGTATGTACTGGAGGGTGGTTCACGTGACTTGCTGCACGAAGTAAGCCAAGTTGGGAGGAGGAATCATTGTGAGCCTGTCACAGAGGAGAGACAATGTCAGAGTATGTACTGGAGGGTGGTTCATGTACTTGCTGTCACGAGTCGCTCGAGTGGGGGGTGGAGGAATCATTGTGAGCCTGTCACAGAGGAGAGACAATATCAGAGTATGTACTGGAGGGTGGTTCACGTGTACTTGCTGTGCAAGTAAGCTCCAAGTGGGAGGAGGAATCATTGTGAGCCTGTCACAGAGGAGAGACAATGTCAGAGTATGTACTGGAGGGTGGTTCACGTACTTGCTGTACGAGTCGCTCGAGTGGGAGGAGGAATCATTGTGAGCCTGTCACAGAGGAGAGACAATATCAGAGTATGTACTGGAGGGTGGTTCACGTTGGGGAGGAATCATTGTGAGCCTGTCTGCAATGACAATGTCAGAGTGGGAGGAGGAATCATTGTGAGCCTGTCACAGAGGAGAGACAATATCAGAGTATGTACTGGAGGGTGGTTCACGTACTTGCTGTACGAGTCGCTCGAGTGGGAGGAGGAATCATTGTGAGCCTGTCACAGAGGAGAGACAATATCAGAGTATGTACTGGAGGGTGGTTCACGTACTTGCTGTGCAGTGAGTCACCCCTGTCACAGAGTGGGAGGAGGAATCATTGTGAGCCTGTCACAGAGGAGAGACAATATCAGAGTATGTACTGGAGGGTGGTTCACGATTTGCTGCACAATTCGCCGAGTGGGAGGAGGAATCATTGTGAGCCTGTCACAGAGGAGAGACAATATCAGAGTATGTACTGGAGGGTGGTTCACGTACTTGCTGTCACGAAAGGTCACTTTCGAGTGGGAGGAGGAATCATTGTGAGCCTGTCACAGAGGAGAGACAATATCAGAGTATGTACTGGAGGGTGGTTCACGTACTTGCTGTACGAGTCGCTCGAGTGGGAAGAGGAATCATTGTGAGCCTGTCACAGAGGAGAGACAATATCAGAGTATGTACTGGAGGGTGGTTCACGTGCACTTGCTGTCACGAAGTCACTCAAGTTGGAAGAGAGTCATTGTGAGCCTGTCACAGAGGAGAGACAATATCAGAGTATGTACTGGAGGGGTGGTTCATCACTCGTACTTGCTGAGTATGTACTGGAGTCACACGTCGAGTGGGAGGAGGAATCATTGTGAGCCTGTCACAGAGGAGAGACAATGTCAGAGTATGTACTGGAGGGTGGTTCACGTACTTGCTGTACGAGTCGCTCAAGTTGGGGGAGGAATCATTGTGAGCCTGTCACAGAGGAGAGACAATATCAGAGTATGTACTGGAGGGTGGTTCACGTACTTGCTGTACGAGTCGCTCGAGTGGGAGGAGGAATCATTGTGAGCCTGTCACAGAGGAGAGACAATGTCAAGTATGTACTGGAGGGTGGTTCACGTACTTGCTGTACGAGTCGCTCAAGTTGGGGGAGGAATCATTGTGAGCCTGTCACAGAGGAGAGACAATATCAGAGTATGTACTGGAGGGTGGTTCACGTCCTTGCTGTACGAGTCGCTCAAGTTGGGGGAGGAATCATTGTGAGCCTGTCACAGAGGAGAGACAATATCAGATTATATGGGCTGGAGGGTGGTTCACGTACTTGCTGTACGAGTCACTCAAGTTGGGGGAGGAATCATTGTGAGCCTGCTACAGAGGAGAGACAATATCAGAGTATGTACTGGAGGGTGGGGAGACAATAGGACAGTTTCTGTCCTCAGAGATTCAGATGATTTCCCCTTCAGAGCAAGTTTCCATTAACTCACTAGTTTCAGTTCTGTAAACTATACTTGCGGGAAACAGGACAGCACTAAACAGTTTCAGTAACAAATGTAACAAGTTGCTTGTAGAGGAGACAACAAAGTAAGAGAGTATCTAAAACACGTGGTGCGACTTACTCGGTGTTCTGGTGGCGCCCCCTGGCCCATGTGAGGAGAATGATGGGGAGATGACTGTTTCGGAATGCTTGGTTCTGCGCGGTACACGTCCCCGCCGGATTCGTAGCGGTGAGGGCTGTACTCATCGTACAAGTGATACTGTTGATCTGCAACACAACAACCTCCTCTTGTTAATCCGGTCCAGATAGGATTACACATGGTTCAGCCCTGGAGTGGGCAGAGGCAACCAGGATTCACCACTCCGAGAATGTGTGTTTCAGAGGATTTCATTTGTTCTCTGTTGGGTTTGACAGTGAAGACACTCACTCACCTGATGCTATTCGGTTGCGGAAGGCGTTCGCTGGGGGTGAGCGTTGCGTAGGGATCTATACTTGAGCGGTTGTGATGAGGCAGTGGTGGACTCTGGGCGTAGTAAGATGGGTAGTACCGGTCCTCTGGCTGTGTCCCGTGCCACTCGTCTGTAACACACAGTCTCATTAAAAATACCTCTTGATCTAGTAACACAACATTTCTCTTAAAATAATTTATTTAAACTGTCCAGTTAGCTAATCATAGTTAGAACAGTGGTATATATCTCTTCCTCGTCTTCAGTAGTGCTACAACTATATGGGTGGATCTCCGTAACGTCAGCTTGCTGCATGGCGTACAGCTATCTACGTAGTGTTTATACTTGTACTCACTGTCTTGGGGCCTTCCACTCTGTCGAGGGTCAGATCCCCGTGCATAGCGATCTTGTGGCGAAAACTGAAACATTCAAAACAAGGTCGTCAATCCTTCTCAGACCAGTCACAACACATGCGGTCTCATCTAAAACTGAAGTCCAGTCCTTCTGATTCACACATGGACAAAGCTGATCTCACTCACTCACCCTCTGGTTGTGGTAGCTGGGCGGGCCGGGGTACGGGGGAATCCCTGGGATACCGTGCTCTGCTGTGTTGACGCTGGGGTCCGAGGATGACCTCACCAGACGTTTCTTCTGTATTGGAGACACGTCAAAGTCATCGTACGGTCGGTGGAGGTCCAGCTCACTCTCCGGCGAGGCGTAGCTGAGCCGGGCCGGCATTGGGAAGAGAAAGTCTTCACTGATGTCCTCATCCGGCTGTAGAACAAACAACATGGGAGAAGGTCAACAGTTGAACAGTACGATAAACATACTACGTAAACTACAACTGTAACCAAGTCTAGCAGTGCGATGCAACCTGGTTGAGAAGTATCTGTGCCGGTAGTCCTTCATCTCCCATGTGCTAGGTTGGGTTCATTGTTCAGTTAAACAGGTCCACCTTAAACATGGGTGTTTGGGGAGATATGTGAAGCGATGTGTGGATGTTCTTCAAGACACACCCAAAGACGTGTCTGTGTTCTGTGAGACACCCAGTGTCGGTGTTCTGTGAGACACCCAGTGTCAGTGTTCCGTGTTCCGTGAGACACCAGGTGTCTGTGTTCCTACCTTCTTGTCACTCATCCAGATGTTCTGCCGCTGCTGATAGATGATCAGCTCACAGAGCTTGGTGTACCACGTGTCCGAGCTGCCGTGTGTGATGGTGCCTGCAGACAGAGAAGCACATCGGTACCTTCAGCAAGTAACATGCACCTTCATTCCCATAGCAACCACACCGTAACATGCACCCACCGTCCCATACGTCTCTACCACACCGTCATTCACCATACGTCTCTACCACACCCTCATTCACCATACGTCTCTACCACACCCTCATTCACCATACGTCTCTACCACACCGTCATTCACCATACGTCTCTACCACACCCTCATTCACCATACGTCTCTACCACACCCTCATTCACCATATGTCTCTACCACACCATTCATTCACCATACGTCTCTACCACATTCACCATAATGCCTACCATATCGCCTCTACACACCATCACCACACCGCCATTCACCATACGTCTCTACCACACCGTCATTCACCATCATTCGTCTCTACCACACCGTCATTCACCATACGCCTCTACCACACCCTCATTCACCATATCGTCTCTACCACATTCACCATACGCCTCTACCACACCTCTCATTCACCATAATGCCTACCATATCGCCTCTACCATTTCACCATACGCCTCTACCACACCGTCATTCACCATACGTCTCTACCACACCCTCATTCACCATACGCCTCTACCACACCCTCATTCACCATATCGCCTTTCATTCACCATATGCGTCTCTACCCTCATTCACCATAATGCCTCTACCACACCGTCATTCACCATCGTCTCTACCACACCGTCATTCACCATAATGCCTCTACCACACCGCCATTCACCATCCACAACCGCATTCACCATACATCTCTACCACACCCTCATTCACCATACGCCTCTACCACACGTCTCTACCACACCCTCATTCACCATCGTTCACCATATTCACCATCTCTACCACACCATCTTTAGACTCACCAGTAAACAAGTGGGAGTACATCTTCTCCAGTTTTTCACTATGTTCATACATTTTCTTATGGTTCTTGGCAGGTGCCTTCCAGCGAGAGCGCAGGTCCTTGACTGCCTGCTTGCTGTCGGCCTTCAGGTTCACCGTGATGGGGTAATACTGGGCGTAGTTGAGGCGGTCCACGTGTTGCGGAGTGACATCCAGGAGGCAGTGCTTGCGCTGTCAAGAGAAGATCGCGATATAAGTCACAGATAACTCCTATCAACTGTCATCACTTACCACCTCTCAGATGACACATTGGTATTAGCTATTAAATAGATCACTACTGACAGCATCATGATGGTTACCTTGGTGATGGCCTCCCTGATGGCGCCAAGTCGTATGATGCCGGACTTCTTTCTGTCATCATCCTGAGTCAAGTCAGACTCTGCAACAGACAGAAGTCGTACATTGTTACAGTCATCTTGTACACGGTTACAGTCATCTTGTACACTGTTACACTTCTGTTGCACATTGTTAGTCATGTTGTACAATGTTACAGACATGTTGTACACGGTTATAGTCATGTTGTACAATGTTACAGACATGTTGTGCACAGTTATAGTCATGTTGTACACGGTTATAGTCATGTTGTACACGGTTATAGTCATGTTGTACAATGTTACAAACATGTTGTACACAGTTATAGTCATGTTGTACAATGTTACAGACATGTTGTACACGGTTATAGTCATGTTGTACAATGTTACAGACATGTTGTACACAGTTATAGTCATGTTGTACACGGTTATAGTCATGTTGTATGAGGTTATAGTCATGTTGTACAATGTTACAAACATGTTGTACACAGTTATAGTCATGTTGTACACGGTTATAGTCATGTTGTACGAGGTTATAGTCATGTTGTACAATGTTACAAACATGTTGTACACAGTTATAGTCATGTTGTACAATGTTACAGACATGTTGTACACAGTTATAGTCATGTTGTACACAGTTATAGTCATGTTGTACACGGTTATAGTCATGTTGTACGAGGTTATAGTCATGTTGTACAGTTACAGTCAGGGAGTATATTGTTAATGGTCAATTTAGTGTTTTGTTGCCTGCACTGGGGGAACCCAGTATTATGAAGTGCAACCTAGTTATTAGTCTAATTTGCACCAGGTGCAAGTAATTTTTTGAGCGGGTAAAATTTCTGAATAAAACATCTAAATAATTCAATGGCATATTTCTTTCATTACATATTACAATAAAAGCAGTGCAACTGGAATTTGGCTGGTGCAAGTGGGTTTTTATATTAGGTTGCATCCAGTGCAAGTAAGTGAACATGTCTTAAATCGAGCCCCGTTCTAAGTCCTGATAAAGTCATGTCTCTATTGTTACAAGACAAGGTGTACCAGATAGAGCCATGATGTGAGCGACCAACTACCCTGTGTTCACATCGTTGTGGGACTTACGTGGAGATTCGAACTTGTCGTGGAAGTCAGCCAGCAGCCTGTCCCTGGCGATGTCAGCTATGGACCCAAATATCACCACTGGCCTCATGAACCCCACTGTAACAACACACCGCACCATTACACACACAGACATTTTAACAACATTAGCTGTTTCAGGAGGAACGTCTGTAACAAGGGTTAGAGAACGCTCAATAAAAGCCTGTGTTACAAGTTTCTTGGCTGGATAAAGCTCATTGTATTCTGTACGTAACATATCCAGGGATATAGGCCTGGAAAGTTTCCATACAGCGACAACTCGTTATATTCTGTATCTAACATATGCAGTGAAAATGTTTTTGAAAGTTTCAATACAGCTACAGGTGATACTGAGGAATTGACTGACCTTCTCCGAGGGCCACCCTCTCGTACGGGGGAAACTTGGTGGACAGACCCGCTGAAACAGAGACAGTTTACACTGAGTTCCAGACACTCTCAGACACAAGCAGCTACTGCGACACAGACACAGATTACAACACATGAGCAGACACAGCCTCACCAACTCAAGGATGACCCCGGAGTTGTGCTGTTTCCACTTGAGTTATGGTCAACTCCTTGCGGTACTCCAGTAACCCGGTATCTACTTGTCTATTCCTCAGCTCAATACTACAGATGTCAATATCTTGTATTGTAAATCCCGCTCAAGGTGTTCAGAACAATTTCTTCGTTGTTACAATCCAATATCTGCTTACTTAGGTGCACAGTTCATTATGTCTTTATCTAATTAAGTCATCTAACTTATTTACCTCCGTTTTCTGGCAGCGTACCAATATGTAACTGTCTGGTTCAACAATGTCAGTAATTCTCAGTTTACCAAGGACGACTTCTAGAACATGCATCCATTAATAAGGAAATGTTTCCATGGCAACATAGACTAAGAAGGATATATTATGATTATATGTTCCATGCGTACGTTGACATTGAGAATACGAACCAAAGATTACCAAAGATAGATTACAGCGAACAAACAGTCGTCTTCAGTTTGACATGGTTCATGAATATAGTACTGACAGAGTCTAACAAGGGGATATGCACACAGTTGGGATGGGATGGGGTATTGTGGGCGTTGGCTAGCGGGGGGTGGTTGTTATTTCATCACACTGTGTTTGTGGGTGAGGGTCTTGACTCTTGCTGGGGTTGGGTAGAGTGGGGGTGTGGTTAGCTCATCACATAGTGCCCCGTGGGTGGGGTCTGGCAGGTTCGGGGTACAGCATGGAGGGGGCAGGGGTGATGTGTGGGGGTGGTGCTTAGCTCATCACACAGTGCCCTGTGGGTGGGGTCTGGCAGGCTTGAGGTACGGCATGGAGGGGGGAGGGGTGATGTGTGGGGATGGTGCTTAGCTCATCACACAGTGCCCTGTGGGTGGGGTCTGGCAGGTTCGGGGTACGGCATGGAGGAGGCAGGGGTGATGTGTGGGGGTGGTGGTTAGCGCATCACACATCAAGTCTCAAGATGCCACTGGCAACCTGTGGTGTCTGTCACCAACTAAATCAACATTCATGGTTCAGCTTAAGTTTCGACATGCATGACATTCATCATTATGTATGTAGGAGTATTATAGTGGAGGATGCAGGTTGGTATATCCATGCTGTCAGTCACTGTCTGCTGTCTTCACACAACTCGAGACAGGGGACGAGGGAAGGGGGGACAATAACTCCATGCTGTATAGAACACCCCCTGCTTGTCACACATTCAAGCAGTGAGCGATGTCATGACAACGGATGATGGTGTGTGAGATGAGGTGAGGTGAAATTAGGTTTAACGTCGTGCTTGAGAATATTTCGCTCATATGACGATGTGCATGCGTGTGTATGTGTATGTGCGGCTGCTTGTACTAGCCCAGACTTATGCTGGCTTTATAGTGCTGGATGTCATGAGATACCATGCTGCAGTGAAGCATGAATACCCCACTCAGACACATTTATACTGACTCGAGTATGACCAGCAGCTCCTTGTTGTACCCATTAATGCCGCCCACTGAGATACCATGCCAGGCAGGAATACAACAAGTACCATATTTTAACGTCTTTTGGTATGGCGCGGTTGGGGATCGAACCCGCGACCTTCCGTTCTCCGGGAGGATGCTCCAACCACTACACCATGGAGGCAAAGATGTGTGAGATGTCATGACAATGGATGATGGTGTGTGAGATGATTATCCAGCATGGCGTGGAGTGTAGCAATGATATGATCCTATATGACTCTATGATGGGATCATGTTCTGATTGTCTCCAGTGTTATAGAAGGCAGTACAGCTTCACACCTCTATATCTCACTACACGTACTAGTGTTCTATGTCAGCTGTTGAAGCACGATGATGTGACTCTGAATGACTCTACTGTGCCCCGATGAGTTATGGTACTCTATGGATGTCAATATGACTGTGTATCTGACTCTACTGTGCCCCGATGAGTTATGGTACTCTATGGATGTCAATATGACTGTGTATCTGACTCTACTGTGCCCCGATGAGTTATGGTACTCTATGGATGTCAATATGACTGTGTATCTGACTCTACTGTGCCCCGATGAGTTATGGTACTCTATGGATGTCAATATGACTGTGTATCTGACTCTACATACGATGACATGAGACTATGGTACTGGATACAGACTGATAATATGACTACATGATGCACGTCTATCAAATCATGGTTACTACGGCAACATCTAGATAAAAATATGCATCCTGAAGTGCAGGAGAGTATTTCTAGAGACAAGCAAGTTGTCATGACAACAGATGATAGGCAGTTGTCATGGCGATGATTGACAGGCAAAGTGTTAATATATGCATGGCAGGTGTAACACTTACCGGACTCATCCGCTACAAATAAATAAAATATGTGAGGATAAAATATCAGGCACATCAAAGTGAGACTTGAATCTACGCAAATCATATTGTTTGTATTCACTGAAACAGCCTCTTACATCACAAGGATTTATCTAGGCAGGGATCTATCTAGGAAATTAAACAGGTTGATTTTAAGCCATTGGCAACAATTCCCAAATCAAATAACCTAATATTTCCCAGTTCAGGTTCTAAGAATGTTAAAGATTTTGAGCTGGTGACAACAGGGCCCATAATACAAAGCCGTAAGGTATTGCACTGCCTGCCAATGAGAAACAGTGGAGCTTGGGATCTATAATGGGCGTGACACTGGCTATCCTGCATACATCCCTGCATCTACAGCTGCTGATGGGACTGGTGGAAGACCTGGATGAAGACTTAACGTGAAGACTTACAGAAGATCACCTCCTCCCAGTGGTCCTTGCCGAGAGACTTGGCTCGTCGTGCTGCCTTCCGCTTGAACAGACTGCCACGCCCCTTGTTGGGGAAGTTCTCCTTGTCGCTGCTAGACTGCTGCTGTGTCTGGGCCAGCATGTCCGCCCTGGAGACAACAGACATCACATATCAGACAACAGACAGACAACAGACAGACAACAGACTGCCACGCCCCTTGTTGGGGAAGTTCTCCTTGTCACAAAATCCGGGACAAACAGACACCACATTAGATCTTCTTCAGTCAGCCCACTTGAAGACATCACTCCTGTTGTTGGGGACTATATGGAGGTAAGTCACACCTTTCAGTGGGAAACCAAGAGAAAACTCACAACTTCTTGGGCACCAAGGGTAAGTCACTCACCGTTTCTTGTTGGGTATGGTTCCCTTCTTTGACTCCTGGTTGTTTTTGCCGAGCTTGACAGCCAGCCAGGACTCGCTCTCTCTCCGGAACAGCGTGTCCTTCACATGGAAGATGTCCCCGATGGCAAACCCGTGGTCCCCTGCCTCCTGGGGGTCGTACTGGAAGTGTGTCCTGGACACGGGGAGAAGGAACCATATAGTAACACAGATAGACACTAGTACCTGTACGATATGTCAAGATTTGAATTTAAATTCCATTCTATTGTTTTATTTCATAAACTTATATATTTTTTACTGAGAATACTTTCACACACATATGTACTTAATGTGAGGAAATACCTATTTTCTTTAGGACCCAAAGAGACGTAAGAGTCGGTGACGTACCTGACATGGAAGTCATCTCCGGCCTCGTGGCTGGCCATAATTCTGTCGTACTCTGAAACAAACACAACAGTTACAGAAGCCAAGCAAAGTACATGTGCTGGTTTGAGCAATGACTTTGTGTTATTAAAGTGACAACAACGCTGCCCTGCCCCGCCCTGCCCCACCCCACACTCATCACACACCGCCCACCGCACCATCACACACACGCCCCACCCCGCACCATCACACCCGCCTGCCCGCACACATCACTGCACCATCACGCACCGCCCCATCACACACCGCCCTGCCCGCCCGCCACCCATCACACACCACCCCACCACCCGCACCCCGCACACACTGCTCCACACCATCACACACCGCCCACCATCACACACACCGCATCTCCACCTGAGTCTCACCTTCACACACCGTACTGCACTGTGATGGTGACCTTGCCCAGCCTCGCCCCATCACACCCACACACCACCCCATGGGTTCATGCCTCAGTCTCACCTTCCTTCCCACCCTGCACTGTGATGGTGACCTTGCCCTTCACCGCCCGCCCGCCCGCCCCTGTGCCTGAGTCTCACCTTCCTTCCTGTACTGCACTGTGATGGTGACCTTGCCCTCCAGTGACTTGAGGAACGCCACCGCCTCCTCCCTGGTCAGCCCTGTGATCTCCTGGACATTAGCCTGAACACAGCAGTCACCAACTGGTTATACACAGGTCCTTCATGGGTTCATGTTACAACAACATATTAAACTGTCACAAGCTGGCTGTGACAGGTGATGAATACATGCATAACCAGGGTGAGGATCATATTGGAACCAAGATGATGGCTTTCTCGAGAAAGAGAATTACTTGAGCACCGAGAAGTGTAAGACCACCAGTGTCCATTGTTATAGCTTAACACGGATATAGCTTAACTAAATTTCTTGGTCCCTTGGAGTTCGCTACATCCGTGTTCTACTGTATTACGTTATCATAGCCTACCCTGAGTATCTGGTCCCCTTCACACAGGCCCTCTCTCTCTGCAGCGCTGCCGGGCTGGACCGACGCTATGAAGATCCCAGTAGCGTTGCCGCCAGCAAGACTCAGCCCCAGACCGTACGTCTTGTCCTTGATGAAGACCACACTGCGAGGGTCCGGACGTACATCCTTCCTTAGACCCACGTACCGCCTGTAACAACAAGGTCCGTCAAGGTCCGTCAATCAGTGGAACTGCCTCCCTTGAGAACCCCCGGAAATATACAGCCTGGAAATCTATCAGGACAAACTTGATTTGTTGCTCAGTGCCTACTTACTATTTCATGCCTACTCGCACCTACATACTCTCCAAGCCTACTTACTATTTCATGCCTACTCGCACCTACATACTCTCCAAGCCTACTTACTATTTCATGCCCACTACCATACTCCAAGCCTACTTACTATTTCATGCCTACTCGCACCTACATACTCTCCAAGCCTACTTACTATTTCATGCCTACTCGCACCTACATACTCTCCAAGCCTACTTACTATTTCATGCCTACTCGCACCTACATACTCTCCAAGCCTACTTACTCTTCATGCCTTGTCCCTGAGAAGACGTCATCATCTTCATCTGTCATATTGGGTCCACGCCTATCATCATCTAAGCGTGTCTCACGTCTTGTCCCACTCTCACGGTCGCTATAGTAACCATCCTTCCGCTGGTAACTGTCTCCTGACACTGGACTGCGTGAGTCTGGCGAGGAGTCTGCAACATGAGGATCACATGACATGCAGGTGCTTGCTGAGTCTCCATTCACACACTGACCAGTCTCCCAGTCAATGACCACACTGACCGTACAGCCAAGGTTCAACAGGTTCCCATAAATAGCTTTGGTAGCGACGGTGCACAGGGCCAAGGTTTGAAAGTTCAGTGTTTGATCAGCAGAAAATAACTATTACTAGTATTACAGTATGGAACTTGCAACAAACCAGATTTCTGCCACAGCCGAAGTTCGTCACTTACCGTCAAATCCTGTGGGCAGTGGCGGGCGTGGCGGTGGCTCATTGTCTAGGACGTATCTCCCGTCATACCGGGCGTGATCTGAGTTTGGATATGCCCCGTGTGGGAGCCCTTTGTCGCGAGGGAGGGTTCCTGGCTTGAAGATGTCATCCTCGGAGCGCACGCTGGGGCGGTAGATGTTGATGTCGTCTTTGTCGTGTTGTCTCCGCAAGCTGGAGTAGCCGGCCAGGATTTCTGGGAAGGAGAAGTGAGAACTGAATTGACTTGAATTGTCCGGAGAGGTGTACTGAAAAGTGAATTGACTTGAAGGAATTACCTCCCTTCCATCACACGTATTCAGATGTGTAGTTACCTCCCTTTCCCCACATGTACTCGGACATGTACTCGAGGATGGAGTTACCTCCCTTTCCTAACACTCCCACATGTTGATGCAACTATGTCTCTAACCTTCCTCCTTGAGCTGACTGTTCTGGCGCTTGTGTCTGTCGTCAATCGTTTTCTTCTTGGTAATGATGAGCTGCAGTTTGTCTTTGGTCTTCTCGATGAGTCTCGTGCATCGGTAAGAGACAGATTGTCTATTGGGGTGTTGTTGATCTGTGGAGCCACAAGAAAACAGGTCACAAACATCAGCCGTAATTTACAATTTCTTCCTGATGATCACATGACAGCAGGCAAACTACCAGCCTTGGTAATAGGTACATTTCAAACTTGACTATATTCCATAACGTCCAAGATATTTTTATGGATTAAACTTCTTTTTTAATTTCTCTCACGACGTTTCGAGACCATTCCAGGTCCCTTCATCAGGTGAATAAGGAGTGTAAGGGAGAGTAAGGGGTTCACCTGATGAAGGGACCTGGAATGGTCTCGAAACGTCGTGAGGGAAATTAAAAAAGAAGTTTAATCCATAAAAATATCTTGGACATCAATGTTCAACTTCTAAATGCCACTGAAAGACATTATATTCCATAAGTTAATTTTCTAGGTGTATCGGCAAACAGCTCCCCATGACACTCTCCACCATACAGAGCAGAAACTGACCTTGAGCACCGTGTCCCCCTCCTTAACCGCGCCCTCCTGGGCGGCCAGACTGTGGGGCAGCACCTCCTTCACGAAGAACTTGCAGCCCAGCACCACCCCAAAGTCTGAAACAGAGAGTGAGTGAGAATGGTTTTAGCCATTTTTAGAAATAATTCAGCAATATCACAGCAGGGAGACCAGAAATGGGCATCACACATTGTACCCATGTGGGGAATTGAAAACGGGTCTTCAGTGTGAAAAGTGAACGCTTTAACCACTAGGCTACCCCACCACCCCTCTGACACACAGAACACTACGTCAGTCTTCACATCTACATCACGGGTCATCATCCTCAGTGTGGCTGCTGCAAGGGTAAGGAACGTAAGGAGAGTAAGGAGTGAAAGAAGAGTAAGGAGTGAAAGACTGACTGACTGAGTTTGGTTTTACGCCGCTATTAGCAATATTCCAGCAACATCACGGCGGGGGACACCAGAAATGGGCTTTACACATTGTACCCATGTGGGAATTCGAACCCGGGTCTTCGGCGTGACGAGCCAACGCTTTAACCATTAGGCTACCCCACCGCCCCAAGGAGTGAAAGAAGTGTAAGGAGTGTAAGGAGAGGAGAGTAAGGAGAGTAAGGAGTGTAAGGAGAGTAAGGAGTGTAAGGAGAGTAAGTAGCGTAAGGAGAGTAAGGCGAGTAAGGCGAGTAAGGAGAGTAAGGAGCCAAAGGGGAGGTAAAGTGTAAGGAGAGTAAGGAGAGTAAGGAGTAAGGAGAGTAAGGAGAGTAAGGCGAGAGTAAGGCGAAGTAAGGAGAGTAAGGTGTAAGGAGAGTAAGGAGGCGAGTAAGGAGGTGGGAGAGTAAGGAGAGTAAGGAGAGTGGCGAGTAAGGAGAGTAAGGAGAGTAAGGAGGTAAGGAGGTAAGGTAAGGGAGTGTAAGGAGGTAAGGAGGTAAGGAGAGTAAGGAGAGTGAGTAAGGAGTGTGGGAGAAAGGAGAGTAAGGAGAGTAAGGAGAAAAGGAGGTGAGGAGGTAAGGGAGTGTAAGGAGAGTAAGGTGTAAGGAGAGTAAGGAGAGTATGAGGTAAGGAGAGTAAGAAGGAGTAAGGCAGGAGGTAAGGAAGGAGGAGTAAGGAGGTAAGGAGGCTGGTAAGGAGAGGATATAAGCAGTAAGTGGGGCGGCAAGGAGTAGTAAGTGTAAGGAGAGTAAAGGGAGAGGGAGTGAAGTGGAGGAGTGTATGAGGTATGAGACAAGGAAGGAGTGTAAGGAGGCATGGAGGAGGAGGAGGTAAGGAGAGAAGGAGAGCAAGGAGGCAAGGCGAGGCGAGAGGAAGGAGGTAAGGAGAGCAAGGACGGGCGAGAGCAAGGAGGGCACAGTAAGGAGAGTAAGGAGAGTAAGGAGGGCGGAGAGGCGGAAAGGAGTGGGCGAGGAGAGTGGGCGAGAGGAGACAAGGAGTGCAGTTTGCACAGGAGAATAAGGAGGAGAACAAGGAGTGCAGCACACCATCAATGTTACCAACAATGGAGGAGAACAACATGTCTTACCGTCTTTCTTTCCCTTTTTACCCAAGGTAACTTTGAGGGGTGGGGTTTCTGTCTCCAGCCCTGTCGGCAGCACGATCCGTCGCCGCACAACCTGTAATATAAGGATTAATAACGATAAGGATTCAGTTCTAGAACATTTCACGAAAGCCAAATGTGGGAGCCCGGCTTCTCAGTATTTCATTCTGTGTGAATCATCCTGCAGAACCAGGACTTGTGAGCTGGAGGGAAATATTCAACATACGGCTACCCACCAGGTTGATTGTGTTGCCGCTGTCGCGCAGGACAGCGATGGCTGTGACATGTTCCACATTCTCCAGGGATATATTGTTGACAGTGACGATACGATCATTGACTCTGTAACATGGGAGGAGGATATGTTACAGTAACATGCAGACTGACACTCACAGTTATTTACAAAATGTTCACAGGAACGGGAATGGCAACGGGAAAATCTATTTTCAGCTGAAAACTTAATATTGTGTCATCGAATGGAGGGTTCAGACGATTCACAGAATTCATCAACTTGAAATAAAATTGGCGGAAATCTGTGGATCAGTGGAAAATTGCCATAACTGCATGAAGCTGCAATAATGATGTTGTTCTTTCATCCCTGTTGAATAACCCGGGTCCATCTACACATCATCATAGCCACCATATCCAAACAGATATTCAATATTATACTAAATGTCAATACATACAATGACAATATTATGACTATATATTTTTGTATGTGTGTACATCCCGCTGATGTATCCTGTTGATATATCCTGTCTATATACTTACTGTAGTCTGCCCTCAGCTGGGCCTGCCTTCAGGACGTCGGAGATGGCGATGGAGGGGTCGCCATTAGCGAAGTGTGGACTGTCCCTGCCGCCACTGACAGCTATCCCGAAACCGAAACCTGGAACCTGCAACGAGGACAAACATCATAGACAGGTGACATAGATCTCCAGATGTCAAGGGAGAACCTGACCACAGGTCTCAAGGCGTCACTACAGAACAATATTCTTCTGTTCTTGTGTTAGAGCTACACTTGAAATACCCAGTATGTTAAAGTTTCCATCAGCTGTTCATAGAACATGAGACATTCCATGTGGAAGTTGATACAACAGATATCTCGGGTTTATGATAGGATCCTGGCACATGAAAGGGACATAACTCTGTACAGGGTATAAGGAACTGAGCCATCAGGCCCTAGTGATGAGGGCTGGCTACAATATCCCTCACTGCAAGGTACTCACCTTGGTGAGGCTGACTCTATGTGTCTCCCATATCACATTGTCTCCACTCTGAAACATGAACATCTCACATTAGGGGGCTGAACAGAAACACACGGGACTGCACATGGGACTGGACAAACATGCAGAACAGAAACAAAACAATCCCATTCCCAGGAACTTGTATCACAGTGGTTGACACTCAGGTTACCTTGAGATGGGTAGATCCCATGTCTCTTCCAGATGCCCACATGCAGGTGCCCCTGAGGTGGGATCTGCGTACCCTGGTACTGGTACAGCTGGTACACATATGTATCCTCATCACACAAGCTGATGTGTTCCTCTGTACCCCAACTGGTACACACAGGTACAACGACACCTCTGTACCCCAACTGGTACACACAGGTACAACGTACACACGTCTGTCCTCGTCTCCAGGCACAGTTCTGTGTTTGTGTTTGTGTCTATACAGCTATATAAGGTCAAGTGTATCAGTGGCTACCAACTGTCAACACTCGGAATCTCTCCACAACCCTGCCTGTGTAATTCTTGCCATATCTCTGTGATAGCTCGGATCACAACAAAGACAAACTAACCACAGTTATCTTTATAATCCATACTTGTTACAAACATCATAATCAGTGTGTTGATACAAGCTGTAACGCCTCCATCCTAGGTGATAACAGACTGTATACAACAGACAGTACAACCGCAGTCTTACATCAGACCATTACATCACAGCATAAGCTGGACAGTGTGGAGATAACAACAATAGTAAACCATCAGCAGCAGTGCAGCAAGGAGACAGTCTATGTCCTGCATGATATGTAGGCACTACAGAAATAGTGTTAATGATATGAAAGGTCAACATTTACATCACACAGTGTAAGTTACAGAGAGTTGTGAAACAGAATATAACGCTTCCATTACTGGGAGATAACTGCCTGTATACAACACATGCCATGCCCTGGTATTACATCACATTACAGCAGGCAGATAAGCCAAGGTACTTCAAGATCAAAGACTTATCAATGTTGGTATCACAACCAGATACAAGAAGGTTGTGGAGTACCTGGCTACATGGCTGTCGGCAGATCAGGCCGGTGTCTATTCCCATGTTTCTCAACGGAGACACATCTCACATATACTAGTATGTATTCCTATAGTGTCTATTCCCATAACGGAGACACATCTCACATGTACTAGTATGTATTCCTATAGTGTCTATTCCCATAACGGAGACACATCTCACATGTACTAGTATGTATTCTTATAGTGTCTATTCCCATAACGGAGACACATCTCACATGTACTAGTATGTATTCCTATAGTGTCTATTCCCATGTTTCTCAATGGAGACACATCTCACATATATGTATTCTTGTGGTGGCACATAACACCATCAGCCATTTGTTATAACACAGATGATATACTGACGTATGTTGATAATTATGTCATAGGCATATTTCTTCTATTATCACCTACTTGACATCATCCATCATCAATCAGATATCGTCCATCATGACTGGTTGTGGACCAAGTAATTTCCACATCAACTACAAATGTTTCTCATGTCACAGAGAAGGCTGTCTATGGGGGCTGTAAATCTATAAGCCCTGATACTATGACCCCTCCGACACCATGAACCGCCCCAACGCCAACCTCCACCTTCCCCAGCAGGAAACTCAATAATTGCAGCCTGTATTGTTGATACTGTATTACGGAGAATCTTAGTTGATTCATTGGTGTGGGATACGGAGCTATAATCCCCACCATCTTCAAGCAAGCACATCAGGCAACTACCACTTCAATAAGCAGATGAAGCGGTGCCATCATTTTTCCCCTAATCATCTCTTAGCATTGTCTCTACACACAATCAAAGGGACTGCCCAAGTATATGTGTCTAGGGTAAAGCTAGCTGTAGATGAATTCTAAAAACATTCAAAAGTAAGATATTGAACTATCAAAGCTCACATTCCAAATCCATGAAGGTGTTCATCAATATGTATCTATAAATCTGGGGTTTTGCGTAAATGTATCAACTTCAAACCAAACTTACAAAATGTAGCCAATGCTAATTAAAATTTCACTCTGAGGCTTAAATTTCGAATCAAATCTGGATATAATCATAATCTCCCATGAGGAGGCAACATGCAGTATAACATAAATAACTTGTGTCCTAACAGCAAGGCCCACCACACCAGTAGCCTGTCAAGCGAGCAGTTTAACAAGCACCTGCTGACGTGATCACTAACATAAGTAGGCGACAATGAGAGCTCCTGGGGAGCGTGAAACATCACAACCCACCTACCTCCACTCTCATTGTGCAGCCACTTGAGCCACTTTGGGGGCTGGGGATCTATACGGTAATACTTCCACCCTGATTACCACCCTGAGGTGGAGACATGGCCACACACTGGGCTGAACTTAGACCATCAGATCTATATATAGACTATCTGACAAGGGGATTCCCCAGCTGTGAGATCTGGCAATGGGTGAAGTGATTCATGCCTGCAGGGGTGCAGATTATATAAATCACAGAGAGTCTTAATAATAAATTCAGCTCAGTATACATTTGATGGTTCTGTGAACCAAAACAATGACCCGTATTGAAACCTCTGACCTAATGTTAGTAATCCCAAGCAAATGTTTCTCTTTGTAGATCAATATTTGGTAGTATTAGAGAGATAAACCCACATCACAGAGATTAGAGACTGAGATTGGAAAGATAACAGTATTGACTTGGCGTGACCGGCACAGAAGCACTGATTACACCCACACAAAGCCAGCACTTGGAGTCTATGGTGTCTTTGATGTGGGATTACCTGTAAGTACAGCAGGGATCAAACACTGCAGCCAGTAGCCATGTGGCCAGTCTGACCGCGGTAATTACAGGTAATTACAGGTAATTATGCTGTAAACAGGGCTGCTGGTTTTGTCTGGTCAAGCTGAGATGGGGCAAGATGAGCATGTTGGACAATGGGAGGCCAGATCACCTGGAAGGGGTTTGTTTTGATCAAATGACTTTCATGGTCGTGAATGATGACCCTCTTGTCAGGTGAGGCGTGAAATGTCATGCTGACCTCTACAGTGAATCCCTCATCATGGGGCGATCATCAGAACTGCTACATCAGCACTATCTATAGCTTTATCTTACACAACAGAAACTAGTTTTGAAATTCTATTTGTTTCATAGCATGCCAATGTTGTTGAGATACTCAGACGATTCAAATACAATGGAACAGTTGATAGCAATAGTAAGGTATATGACGATTAAAATTTTGCAGTGTTATTTTAGATATTTGTCTTGTTAAGCTACATGTGCAGGAAATGTAGATAGGGTAATTAATCACTATTCCATGTTTCAGTCACTGCCCCCAGTTGCAGCATCCAGTGGTGCCATCTGGTAGTGTTGGCAGGCACCCAGGTGGCGCTGTAGGTAGGTCGACGTCTACAGGTGGTGCATCTGCCTTGAGTGATGAGATGCACCATAAATAACCTGGACACTGCACCATCACGAGTCTTACTTCATCCACAGTATTTATGAGATATTTTACCAGCTATCGGCCACAACTGTAAAGGCAGCTGTTGGTAATGAGGACGTTTTCAAAAATTGTGATAAAACAAGATATTATACAGTCCTCTGTTTTTATACCATTCATTCCTGAGGTGATTTTTGTAAAATTTCCAAAAACTCAGCCAAGAAGTGAATGTCAGAAGATGGTAGCAGGCGTCGGTTCTGGCACTGTGCCATAAGCTTGACATTCAACATCAGAAAGTGACTTTAGATTCACAGTCTCTCCCTGACACTGCAGCAGAACTTCAATTTGATTTCTAATTGAGTAAGTTAGTCCCCCAGCAACTCTCCCCCAGATTATCCCCCCAGTTACCAGGTGGTGATCCTCCTGTTGTGTCAACAACACTGAGTGCAGATCAAGACATCAGCTGTGATCACATCACTGTATCCACTGTGACACGGCGATGTATTACTCAGGTAATCAACACAATCAACAGGTGCTCCACACAATCAACACAAGATATAAACAATCATTAATCAAAATTACATCTACTCAAATGCTTTACTCAATCATGATTCACCAGTCTACCTTAGCTGGAGCTTTAGACAATCAGCAGGTGTTTTAGACAATCAACAGGTTCTTGACATAGTGATCTATCTACATTACACCTATTCAGGTGCCTATATCAACATTCTAACACCTGACATCACATTTGGTAAAAGTTCCCTAAAATCCTTGACCTCTGTATTAACTTCCTCCACCCCGCTGCCCCCACCCTGTGTACACGAGATAAGACAGAGTGTGGTATGTGGCTGGTACATTTATTTCCTCTACGTGAGTGTTATCACCCTCTCATATGTCTGGAATGTGTCTCTCAACAATAACATGGCCTTCGTGGAACTACATCCATCTCAATATATCAAAGTATATTTTTATCTCACCAATATATCTCCCTAACTTCAACCACATAAATTTTATTGCCTTCGATAATGAGTATAATACTATAATGAGTTACTATATCACAGAAAGGCTGCTAATTTCTAATTTTATTACAGTTTCTCTGCTGGAGTTCTCCCACGATATTAGCGTGTATTGTTCCCTCTGTGTTTCAAGACAACAATACCTGCCTCGGTACACAGCCATTGTTCTAACTACCTATTATATACGGGGATTATCACCCTCTTTGTCTCACCAATCACAGGATTACTGGATTATCTCAACAGTGTCACGGTGACCTACATTTCAACAAGGGTCACAAGAGAATGTTATTTTTATTTCCCTGGGATAGTGTTCTTGTTGTGTTAGTGCAACACCTGAAATACTCGTTATGCTCCGAGTTGCATTAAATGTTTATACAACATAAGAAAGTCAATTTCATGGTGTTTGGTGCCAGGTATCTGCTTAACTAATACAATATTCAACATAGAGTTATCTGGCAAGATTTGTAACACTGATCACTCTAATTCCTCAAACTCAAGCGTTACACACACATGAACCCCAAAATAAAGACAACTATTCTGTGTCAAAGGAAAAAAGATGGAGAAGAAGTCCAAA